GCACTGCATGGCTGTTGATTAATCGATACGGTTGTTCCATGGCCCAATGTCGGGAAACTGGAACGCGTGGGTGCTTAGCTAGCGTCATCTCGAGGGACTGACTCATCGCACAGATACTGATCCTATAAGCCCATAGTGCCCTTGTGTTTCCCAGGTTGGTTGCCGTCTCCATTTTATGTCAGTAGTTGCTCCTATCTTCTCTGGCCGATTGTGTTGTTTATCGTCTGAGGTCAGGATGAGCAGAGGATTGAGTTAGGATTTCCTATTTTGCCTCAGTAGCTAACTGGATGGTGTGGCTGGATATCTAGTCCTTTAGGCGACGTGACCCAGTGCCTAGATCGTGTAGAGCAGCTTGTTGTACTGACGACTTCAACCTAGTCCACTGAGTTTCAACTCTGTGCTTTCTTGAGTACAGGGGGGAGAGAGGGGTCGTTCGAGAATTGTGCAGTTATCATGTCCATCATTGACCGGCATTTCTTGCGGCTCTCCGTTTAAAGCACAATTAGGCGTTTGGAGGGCACGCTCTTTCTCGGAGTTATCAGACAGAATCTTAATCTCGCAAGAAGTAGCACGTGATCAGATTCGCTTTCGGTCCCGAATTCAGCCCTGCAATAGGATCGACTGTCAACCGAAGGGGAAAGGATGAGAGGGTAATCTTACTCATGTGCTGTTTTTCCGTCGTAATGCCACGTCAGTCAGATGCTTCCTCGGATGTTAAAACCATGTGGTGGTGATAAAGAGTCGATTATAATTGGCAAAGCTGAGTAGTCGGTCATTATTCAAGCAGCACTGGCCCAGGCGAAGCCTCCGAACGATATGCTTCCTGGCTTCTTCTTGTGGGCCAGTTCAAGCTTTCCAGTCCCCAGCTGTGGTACATCCCTTTTGGGTACTTCATTAACAAGCGATTGAAGGCTGACATAGAACGCGTCTTTTACGTTGTTAACAGATGGCGTGGAAAGCGATTACTGTGAGGTTTGTTGGATCGCCCTTGAGTCGCGCTACTGCGGTCCTATAAAATACTGATTTCGACGAAACACATCATTAGCCCGATGGCTTAAAGTAAGTGCCAGTCCATATTGACCCGACGTTTCATTCCCGTTCTGATACAGCCAGTATTAGCTAGCAAAACCAGAGATTTTGATAATTTAGGAACCGGAGCCCGCAAACGTGACTTCAGATAGGTTTGCGATTTCAAGCTGATAGTCATGCAGCATGTGCGTATCGTTAACGCCTGACTCCCGACGTCTTACAGTATTCTAACGTTCCCGTATCCAATGTACGATGTTCTTCGTAGTTTAAGTTGTCCAGTGCGCATGATTGCCACCCGAGCCACTGAAGAACCACACGGCGGGTTGCTTCCTGGGAACGCGAGACAAGTTGAACGATTATCCATGATCTTTCTTGGAAGTTAGGTACAGGAAATGTTCCCAGCGTTGCCCGACTTTAGTCTAGTCTTTTCCCATCCAATTAGTAACTTTAAGGTAGCAGGCAAGTGACGTATTTTTACCGGTTGCATTCTGGGGAGGTGCTCATAAGCCATTGACGGTTTCTGGGGATCCATGCAGCCCTGATGAGTACAGAGTCATTACCATTGAGTCATGTGAGCAACTTTGTCCACCCAAAGTGCTAGTACAACATTCGCTCGTGAGAAACCGATTCGCTGGGATCTGAGCACCCAGGTACTCTCAAACTGGTATGTTCCGCCTGTCTAGCGGTTTAGTGCGATGTGGCCGTTGTCGTTTCTTGGAATCGCATGTGAGAGCTGGGCGCCCGATGAAGACCAAAGAATCGCAAAATGGTTTCTCATAATCGCTCTTTGACTATTTACGGACAACTCCCCTTGCCATAACAATGCCACAGTATTCTCCAATGTCAAATTAGTACGGCTGCATCCGAAATGTTCTTCAATGTTACAAACTATGAGTCAGGGTTAGATATGGTCTTTCAAATGTTCGTTCCGGAAACATTTACTAAATATGTTTTGTCTTCGATCGAAGATGAGCAACCTATCATGAAAGCCGAGATAGACATTCTCATGGCCATGCATCTGGTCAGGAAAGTTTGGGTGTCTGTGTACCCGCAGGTACTGATCAACCCTTTCATGAAACATGGGTTCAAATCCAACAACGAGAGGATAAATGCGATCTGACGGAGGACTGTACTCATTGTGTCTATTGATGACCATCTTTTTGAAGAAGAAATCGCCTGATTGGAATTTGATGATAAAGAAGTAAGTTATTTAAAAAATTTAGTTACCAGATTAATTCGTTTTGAATCAATTTAAACATCGCAAAGGAGAAGATTGATAACCGCCGTCGCGCGGACGAACCTGTGTGAATGAATGAACCACACTCTCACTTATCCCAGAGCACCAATGAAATTAGACGGGTCATTTGCCAAAGGTCATCGTAATCCGGGTCTAAGGACAGTTTGTGAGATGCACTTCTATAGTCTATGAATTACGTTATGGAACCACTCGTGTTGAACTTAGTGCGACCGACAACGGTCATGACGAATGCATGAATCGGTTTGAACATACACTGGTAACAACAAAAGCGAACGAATGAACATGTCTACAGACGCTAATGGTACACATTTTCACTAGAAAATCATGAATAGATTGCATAGTGAACAATCAGTTTGAATATGGGAAAGAGGTAAATATTCTCAGTATACCCGGTAACAGATAGTTCGCTCATATTAGATGATATTATCTCCTTCTAATGCGAATTTTGTCTCACTGTATCCGAACCGGTTCGATTTTGCATTCCTTGAATGGGTTAATACTGATGAGATTATTATAGCTAAAACAGTTGTATATCACGGCGAATGCCTAACAGCCTAATATTGCAAAAGGAATGGAAAAAAATCTGGAATGAATATGCGGTAGTTGTGTAAGAAAAAATCCCCTGAAGTAAGGTTAGTATTTTCGGGATAACCAGACTTAAAACTGCGAAAGGGCTGAAAACGAGATGCAATGTACTAATGTTACGCTGAGGACAACATAAATGATTTCAATTTCTTCGATACATAAAGGATACGCAGGAGGGTATATTTAAATCTCGTTATAAATAAACAGTAAACAGTTATAAACATTGGAAACAAGAAACGAGATTACCGTAATTTTCGTCGATCCGGTGTATTTTGTCAAAACTCCCAAACGATTTTTCATACTACTTAATAGCATCTACTACTGACTAACATACTATGTAGCAGTTCCTGAAATTTACCCACCTTTTCGGATTCCCGGTGGGTGCTATATGGCAGGAGACTGACTGTAGTTCGTTTCGGATATTCAGCTTTTGAGTCAGAATACGGGTCAGATAGGGTACTGTTGACTTGCGATAAATGTTTATACGGGAGGGTAAGCAACGATAATTGGGTCGAGTTCTGCAGTGGGAACGGCAAGCAGACGGGTCGGATGACCGGGCTCGTTATGTAACTTATGAGCGAAGTTCTCACATGAAGTAATGTGAAAGTCACAATTTTAAGGTTAGTGTTGCAGTCTCTCGGACCCCTGACCGAAAGACGGGAGACACCTATTCTTTCTAGACAACTCTTCATGTCTCGTCTCCAAACCATCTGTGGACCTCCCGTGACTTTTCAACCTAGGGCAGCAAGCGGTGCCAGAGATTGTCTGCGTAAAACGTGTCGGAGCCAGCGAAAGCCTGTTCGTCCGAATGCGGTGACGACGAACTGTCTGCTGATGCAGCCATCCTCTCCCCACCCCCCAAATACACGACAGCTTACTGATCATTACATCATACCTGTGCCAAACTAGATAGTCGACAGCTGTCGAAAACCTCCGAGTGATCGATATGTTCCCGGGGCAAATCCAAGGTTTTACAACCGTAAAGCAGAACTGTGGCATAGTACATGCGCCCCTTCAACTTCAAAGAAAGATGGCTTCAACAACAAAGGTATTCCAGTCCAACATTGGATATGCACAAGCCATCGCAATTCGTTAAGCAGCTATCTGGGTGAGAAAAGCAGTTAACCGTGGTCAATTTCCGATCATGAAGCTTCAAAGTAGCAGCATCACTTTACACGTTCAGCGTACCGAGAGGAGCAGCGAATTTGTTAGCTAGTCAAGCGAGCTTTGCGCACCTTCTATACACTGGAACAAATCGTCTAGGTACTCGAAGTCGCATGGCTTTTATTAAATTGTCCATTCAATGCCAACACTTTGAAGACCATCTTGAACTTTCCCAAACATTTTTTCTATAACGAACCTGAGCAGGTATGCTGATATATCAACCCACATCGCACACCGCGTCTAGATTCGAACGACCCGTTTTGATCACTGTCAACGAATATAATGATCCATTAAATTACCGTACGGATGTAGCGCATTCATTCGCAAAGAACCAAATTGAATCAAACGGGCCTTCGGGTCATGGTGAACTGTTGGTCGATTTCCAGTTTTCGGGGCAGTCGAGACCAAAGGCTTGGACAACACTGTAAAGCTTGCCGAAAGAAGGAAGTTCATTGAACTGCAATGAGCATCAAATTACAGCAAATCCCATACCAAAATCAAAAATAAGAACGGAGCAATACGGACGGTCGTAGACAGGAAGAGAAAAAGGGGAGCAGGGAAGACAAGAGTACGGAACAATGGGGAAAAACAACGGTTCACAATTCACAATAATTAGGATACGAGAAGAAAGTGAGTGAGTGGATGACAAAGTTGAAGCGGTTTTCCAGACCGGTGGATGAGAACAAGTTTAAAAAAACAAGAATCTCAAACATATTCAAATACAGATTAAACATAGATATAAGCCCATCGAATAGGAAAGCAAAAGGACAAAGACGAAAAAACGTTTTCGCGCCAGTTAGTGTTTGATGACGGAATATGAAAGAAACAAGTGTGGGGCAAGGTAGTAGGTGTGTGCTCGACTGACTCGGAGATGACCTTTGGTGGTTTACAAAACGGCGAACTGAACAAACATCAATCATGGATGAGCGAGCGAAAGGGCGATTGTGTGCTTGTTTGCATCATATCAGTTCACTTTCTTTTTCCGATCTGTATTTGCACTGCCACTAGCACTGGATGGGATCTTGTTCACAGTAGTCGTTTTCGCAGGCTTCGTGGAACTATCTTGAGTAGTTTCGTTATGCTCGGGAACGTCCTCGTAACTATAATCGGATAGAACAGTTGATCATTGAGGGGAGGTGATTTAGTCCCAACAGACCATCATTTACCGCGCAGCAGAAAAAGACAATAAACCACGAGGAATCAGTATCAGTCCATCGACAGTGATGATGAACCCAATTCCGTGATTAATAAACTTGACGTACCAAAGCTGGATGAGCACCTCATATTCCAACATGTGGATATGCATGTCACACAAATTGGAACCTTGCGAGGACTAAGAAACAGCGAAGTTATCGGTAATCCGTTGGCGTTATCCATCAACCACCTACAACATTATCCTAAAGTAGCTCCCCGTGTATGCGACTAGTAGTAAGACAATTAGGTTTAAAGCAATTTACAAAAAAATGATCTGTAGCCCAGACTGATGTATCTGGCGTTTGTTAGTTGACAGTGCAATCTGAACAACACACCTCGCCCAATGAAAAATAGCAAACCGCATTCGTCTCGGGAAAATGGACATGGGGAACTGTGCTCATTATTCATCTTGGGTGTCCACCTTCCAAACTTCATCTTCACGTGCCATGGAGGCAGTAAACGCGAGTTTCAGTCTGATCGGGTGGTGCACGTGAACCAACCCATTCAAGAATTGAATCTTACCAAAATTAGCCCATCGGCAACGGATAACCACAATATAGCGACAGTTGCAAATCGGTCTTCGAAGCGGAACTCCCTGATCGCTTATCAGTTCAAACACCAGCCGAAGGACTCAATGAACATTGGAAGCAAATCGAGAAAGCTATCCAAATGCCGATGAAGACAACGGTTGACTCTGTCACATGCTCAAAGCAGAAACGACGGATCTCGTCGACCTCGGCGGACTTGTTGGGCACCCGCACAAACTGAACTACACTACACCAGAATTAGCAATTCAATATTCAATGATAGCCAGACAACCTCTACACTTGATAGTGAAGAGAGTGAATACAGAATACTGTCGGTTCAATTACTACAAATCACTGTGACAATGTTAGAAGTAGGCCCAAAACCAGGAAGACTGTTATTGGAACTAGTGCACTAAGCCCCGGGATTCGGAGTGATGCATCACACAAGGTCCCGGATACGATAGACGAGGTATTGAGCCAGAGAGCAGTGAAGCTGCTGCCTAAGTGCCAAAGTCTACTGAGATTTGGTCGATTTCGAGCCTCGGGTATTACTGTGAAATAGAAACACACCACTGACGGAGACATACTCTGCACCTAACCTCAGCATTGCTCGTCCGTTTTCACCACCAGACTCGTGCAATGCGACGTAGACAGTGGTGTTTAAACACCGACAGTCTATCTTTATCCTGTTTTCCTAATGATCAAGTTTCTACGCCAAATAGTAGAACTTGCCGAACTCGACCCTTCACACGCAGCCGAATGTCGCGACGGCGCCCCAGATGTCATCATCACCATCTCAGATGAGCATTACTTGGAAAAAAGAATGAGTTCTCAAATGATAATAAAAGGATAAGTGTACCTGACTACCGGAAACTAAGCTGATTGCTCAGGTGAATCACAATTGACCTGGTTGTAACACGGTCAAGCAGCCCAACCTGAAGCGTGTATTACTTCGCTGCCACCGATTGGGTAAGCTTGTATCTAGTATTACTCTAGGCGAATACTACAAGGCCGTCCAGTGGTTGAAGCGCTATGAAGTTCGTGAGAAAAGGACCGTTCGGTGTGGGTGGATTATCCCCCGTGTTCAAAGATACGCTGTAAGTCTTCACCTTCGACTAATTGGGAGCAGGTGAGAAAAAGAATTTCCTCCATTATTGAAATAGCAAGTCAAACTTCGTGCCGCATTGGGCGGATTTGAAATCACGTGTGAACTGAATTTGAACTAAACAGTAATATTCCGGCTAGAAAGCTCCATCTGTGTTTTCTAACTGTAAACGATGTTGTGTACGAACAGGACTATGAAGCCCACGAGGAATGATTAGATAGGTTTAGCGAAATTTCCCCCACAGGATACTCTATAGGTATCTTCTTCATAAAACTTAAACCATTAGTTGATCCCACAAGTCCCCTGTCTCTGATAACCTTCGTCCGTTCGTACTAGACGCCCCCAGTATCATCGGACTGTCAATTTTAGAAAGAATGATCCAGCAACTGGTCAGTAAAAGATGGATTAAACGAAGAGGAATAAAGGTGCGAGGGTTCTTGAACAACTTACGCAAACATCGCTTTTAGATCTCCTTTTATCCAAGCGAGTAAAAGTGGGCTACCCAAACAGCTTGGGACTAGATAGAGCAATGCGGGCTATAAGAACAAGACAGCAGTGTAAAAATGCACATAAGCGGATGCAATTGAGCAAGAAACGAGTAATAATCATGCGTACAAAAAGGATCACGAAAAAAATAAACTGATTGAATCAATGATGTCAGTAGACCTAACCGACTCGCAATGACTTAGGTTAGTTTGCCCTACTACATTTACTACAACAACGGTATAAATCGAGAGATTATACACCCAAGAATGATTAGGAGTGAACATTTGATAAACGGATTTTACCATACCACAGTCTCTTAATGGCCTGCGTTTATTCCCTTTGTTGTAGAAAGCCTTTTTACCATATGGATAGTATTTTCGTTGAAGTGAGAAGGTGATAGGTCAATCTCCACAATCAACCGGATAGACTAGCCATTTTCAGCTATCTCGTCTGCAGAAGTTGCATAATTCCGATTTCAAATCACCCGTTAAGCGTTACGTGAACCGGCACCGAGACTACCGAATAAACGGTCGCCGATTCGATTGGGCGATCGGATGCATTGAGTACCTTGCGCATGGGAACCCCGTCCGAAGGGCATGTGATTCGACCAGTGGAACATCAACGGATCACGGACTCAAAGCGCCGCCTGACTGTCCTGTGGATTGGATTATTCAGAGGAAGGCTCACATGTAAGTTTCTTAAGTGAAACATATTCAGGCTCTGGCGTCCGGGTAGCACAATACCCGTATAACAGGTCTAACAGCCCGCTCTTTTCTATTAGTGTTGGCAATCTGTTGGCTTCAGGTTACTTGTTGAGTATGCCATACTCTAGTACTAATACTATAAATGTTGTAAGATACAACTCACATTTGTGATTTGTATGTTTGGCGCGCGAAAGAGGATGTGATTGGCGGTTTCTCGCAATGATCCCAAATGAACAAGACCTCCCGGAGCGAATTAGTGTGTTCCGAATGGAAACCAGGGGAAATGCACATCTGCCGGAGGATTGTTCTATCGACGATCCTCCGTGCTTATCGGAATTATGACTGGCCTATCTTAGATGAAACTCTTCTACCTATGTAACCCAATTTACCCATACCCATATAATTCTTTCAAATAAACAAATCTCTCAGTTCGGCACTGGGCTTCAGAGTTACCACTAGAACATGCTACTTGACAACAAAATATGGGTTACAATAAACCAAAACTTACCTGGGCTGCTTTGAACACGTGCATAACAATGAAAGTGGTAGCCAGACCCACCACGTAAGCGATGTAGCCGGTATAGAAGTATAGTTTACTGTCCTTGCGTTGCAGGCTGCATTCGACCGAAATGGACGTGGAAAAATAAACAGATTTGAATACGAATGAGGAATCGAACGAACGAATGAATGAATGAATGAATAAACAAGCGAACAAACAAACAAATGAAAAGCGAACGTCAATTCACCGATTTCAATGCGGGGGGGGGGGGCGAGAACAAAACGAACAACAGAAACCTCTCCGTGGCGGATGGGTACACGGTGCACGTCACTCCTGAAACAACAATATCCCAAGAAAAAACAAACAAGAGTCAGAAATTCATTCACAAGCATTATAAGCGTGTATGGACAGTTCCCGGTCTATGCATGAGCTTTTTATAGTGAACGGTGCACAGTAGACTAATCTCTAAGAAGGAGCATCAGGTGTCGTAAAGTACACCGGGCTGTGAATGACTGAATGGATTTGCATGACCCTAACAGCAAGACAAGATAAGCCGGCACAAATCACATCCAATCGCCAGGGCTTTAGACAAAATTCGATGACGGAATTTTTACTGCGGTAGCAGCAAAACCGAACGGCATTTCCTTCAAAGATAACAAAGATACTGGTCACACGAAAAGATTCTCCATAAGCAAGGTATCTTGTAAACAAAAATATTCATTAAACACAAAACTGATAGAGCTAACAATTTACGAGGTGTTCAAAGATTGTGATGGTAGGCTACTTCCAGATTGTCCTGATAACGGAAAGGGAATAACCTTGGGATACTCATCAGAAGACCTAGAATAGAAAGGTAGATCTGTAAAATAGCGGGACGGAGGTCAAAATCCTATATCCACTCGGAGTCGGTGTTTACTGGATGGTTCAACCTTTGGACGGAATCAAACAGTCAACCACAACAACCAGCCGAGCCGGAAACCATTGTCTGAGCCAGGGTTTTCACACTCATTTTCTTAGTTTATAACGAGGGTTTATTTCGAACCCTCTAAGATTATCTTCTAGATGTCACGGATATATGTTTTTCGTTCACAAACAGACCAACAAGTTGAAGAATTTCTCAATCTCACTACCAAATAACTACCTATCCACAGAAATGAAACGTTGATAGATGAGGGAATTAGCTTGTCTTAGCCACGACGAATGAAAATCAAAACACAAAGGCGTGTTTTGATTTTCATTCGTCGTGGCTAAGACAAGCTAATTTCCTCAATAATCATGAGCACAACGCCCAAGTTTTTCAGTGAGATCCGTTCCACCCATGGATCTCGTGTTAGAAACGCTGACAGTTTAATTGTCAAAACCGGAGAGCACTCGAACAGTAAGGTGCGTATAACTCGATTACCACTACACATGCGTTCGCCCAGCTACGGAGCATTTCGCCCCGGGTACACTCTGCTGTGATATTAGCACTTCGTCAGAGCAAAATGCAAAACGGAGATTTAATTAGACAGAAAGTGAATAAATTATCTTGTTAGCAGAACACTTACCTCACATCGAATCTGAGTAGCATCGCGATGAAAATACCGGGCACCACAATATCACCCAAGCCCAGGATAGCGAATTGCTTGGCAAATAGGCCGTGTACGAGGAAGTCCCGTGGGAATGACACTAAGGATAGAAACACAATGTTTGAAGAACAGACATCAGTCGAACCGAACACAACACACACACACTCCAGTTTCACTTGTGATAACCCCACATGACTCTTTGTATGTTGTCCTGTTGGACGACTCAGGACAAAACGAAAGCAAACTTACAACATATCACGATTAGTGTGATGTTCGTTCATAACTGAAAGCTCCCACGTTTCACATTTACTTAAAACCCATTCTTCTTTCTATTAACTAAACAATTAAAGATTATAACTAGGAACATATCTTATGAGAACAATGCTTTTCTTAGAAGATATCTGTATGTTATCGCCTCTTATTTCAACTTATCAGCTTTGGACTGTCAGGATCGTCGCCTAAAATGACAATGTCGTCGGCGAATTCCGGATTTCGTGACTGATTTGAATTCCTCGATAAATTGTTACCCAGTCTACGGGGTAGTTGGATATCATTGGTGATATGGATCAGTCCTGGAGGGTGTCAGAAGCAAAGAAAATTCCGGCAACTCTTCCTAGTAGGTTCGGATACGCCCTTGCATCACACATTCATATGAGTTTATAAGCCCTATGTACTTCCCGGACAAACCGTCCGTGCGTGTTGTGTTACGAAATGGATGTGTAATGAGGGAGTAGCAGCGCAAAAATCAGGCAGATGTCTTGGAATTCGCCACAGGGTACAGGTCTTGTTGATATAAGCCTTCTCTTACAGAAAACTACACGGCTTTTGGCATATTTTGTGTCGTGTTCGGGATATATATATATATATATATATATATATATATATATATACATATATAACACAGTTTTGTAAACAACGGTGTAGACTGTTGTTTTTGTAGCTCGGGTAGTTATAATTTGATGTTCAGTTGTTCGCACAGCTTGGCTGATGTTTATTCGCCTTGTGCCGGTA